AAATTTTATTATTTTTTATTAAATCATAACTTTGTACATTGATGCATTTATGGGATTCTGTGTACTGCTTTGATATACAATGTGAAATGCCTACATTGAACTAAGCAACACATCCATCACAATTATACTCATTTCTTAATAGTTTTGAAATGTACCATTGCATCACAATTATACTCATTTCTTAATAGTTTTGAAATGTACCATTGCATCATGCACATTAGGTGAGGTCCCCCCAAATACCCTCCCTCCTCCCATATTCCCCCTCCCCTCTCTGTCCTCTTCCCTTCTACTTTCTGACCTATAGTTATGTTTTGCCATTCATATGAGTGTGCAGGTGATTATATATTGATTTCATAGTAGTATTGAGTACATTGGATACTTTTATTCCCATTCTTGAGATACTTTACTAAGAAGAATATGTTCCAGCTCCAGGGGAAAGAAAAATATTCAAATGTGTATTCTAATTGCAGAGCCTTTTCTAGGGCAGCAGGAAAATCACTAATGGTTTTGGTAGAAGTTCTTACCTGGGAGGCAAACATTGGCATTCTGGCTTTGTACTTCTCAGTTTATGGTCTTTGGCAAATCTCTGGACCCAATTGTCTCCTTTATAAAAAAGGACAGTTGGAATTGGACTAGATCAGGGATTAAAGCAAAGAAACTCTTTGTTTAAGTAAAGTCTTCAAAACCCCCCAATATGAACAAGAAGTAGAGGTTTGTGGAGAAGCTTTGGCTGCAGCAAAATCCTGAGTCACCTTCCCCCCTTCAGAGTCCTCTTATGCTATGTCCTGGCCTCTGACGTACCACCATGGCACTGTGAGATCTAGGAGCCTCGTGGGCAAGTCACCCAGTGAGCCCTGGAGACCCTGCTGGCTTTTGGGCTCTTTGTGACTCAGCAGATGGCTCCTAGTTTAGATGGAAGGCTAAACGCCTGTATTATCTCTTCTCTATTATGATACTTATTTAGAGTGGTAGTAAAGAGAAAGATAGGGGTGTATGGCACACCTTTTGAGTGTAGGACATAACTACAAGAGGGACTCTACCTAACAAATTCAAATACTGTGATTTGGCTGTTTGTACCCTCACACTAACCTGAGATAAAAAAAAGAAAAAAGAAAAAAAAGAAAAAGGAACTGTTTGCTCACAACTGAGAAGTTAACTCCAAGGTTGATAAACCCTGGGCTTCAGCCCCCAAAGAAAAGACTTGAAGGGACCTTACCAGATGTGGTGAGGGGACTGAGGAGGTCTGGCCTGACCCCTCACTGTGACAATGGTG